CCGGAGGCGGCTCCGCTCCGCCTCCGCTCCCTCCCGGGAAACTGCCCTCAAGTGAATTCTGGATATTGACTTAAAAAAACCCAGCCCCCACTGGTTTACCGTTTCCCTCACCGTGTTTAGGTGTAACTCTCACATAATTTGCGGGTTTTTGCTTCGTCCTGCTCCCGGATTTGAAGCCCGTCGGCAGCAGGCCGTGCGCCGGCACCGGTGGCGTGTTTGCCGTCGGAAGCTGTGCTGGGAACGGGGGTGACGGTGCACCGAGAGAGGGGTCACAGAACATCCCTTCCCAATACACAAAGGCGGAATAGTTCGGTTTCTTTTTTTAACAAGTGTTCTCTCCAGCCAAGCCGTTGCACTCTCACAGGCTGAGAAAGGCTCCAGTCACCTCTTTCCCCTCCTTTCACAGCCAGTCCCCAACCTCCATCATGGATTATCTCTCTAAACCCGGGCTCCTCAGCGTCATCGCTGGAGTCGCCTGTGGAGTGTGCCTGGGCTGGGGCATTCGCGGGAGGCTGCTGAGGCAGCCCAGGGCCGGGCTGGTGCCGCCGGGGCACAGCCCGGGGGTCGAAGCTGACGTCATGGGAGAGTCGGGGGAGTTCAAGATGGTGCTGATCGTCCGCAACGACCTGAAAATGGGCAAGGGCAAAGTGGCGGCGCAGGGGTCCCACGCCGCCGCGGCCCCCAAAAAGTGGCTTAGCGGCCGCAACGACCTGAAAATTGGCAAGGGCAAAGTGGCGGCGCAGTGCTCCCACGCCGCCGTGTCCGCCTACAAGCAGGCTCAGAGAAGGAACCCCGAGCTCCTGAAGCAGTGGGAGTACTGCGGGCAGCCGAAGGTGGTGCTCAAAGCTCCCGACGAAGAGACTCTGATCCAGCTCCTGGCTGATGCCAAGCACCTCGGACTGACGGTGAGCCTGATCCAGGACGCGGGGCGCACCCAGATAGCCCCGGGCTCCCAGACTGTCCTGGGCATCGGGCCCGGCCCAGCCGACCTCATAGATAAAGTTTCTGGTCACTTAAAACTCTTCTGAACTGGGGACCAAAGAAATCTGAATGCGTTGTTGTCAATGGGAACTTAAAGGGATATAGCCCAAGTGTGGGATTTTTCTGTATGCTATCTCAGCCTAAATAAAAGAACTGGTTTTTGTAAGAGATTTAAATTTGCAGATCCTGAGTGTCTGTGTGGTGTTCTGAAGCAGGGAAGAAAAGGCTGGGCTCAGTGGAGCTCAGGGAGGTAGGGCTGGCAAAGTTTTACTTCCCCTAAGAAAGAGACCAGTATATTTAAGACTTGAGCAATTAATTGGGGTTTTGCACTTTGGTTTGCTGGCTGAATGGAAACAGTCTAGTTGGAGTGAGTTTCTCCTGTATTAGAACAAGTTCCCCCTCTCTGCCTTACAGGAGGTTTTTTTGAGACACACATTCAGTAATTTAGGGAAGATCAGCTGCTGAGGCAGTTAAAAATTGCCCCATCCAGCTGGGCATATCTGTGGCCAGCTTCCTGCACCCACTTTCTAACAGATGAACTGGTGCAATAGCCTGTAACTGGTGTGAGACCAGCCAACTCAAACAGGCTTCACAGCCCAGACCTCCTGAGCCAGAGCTCAGCTGTGGGTAGCCACACAGGCACCCCCAGAAGGGACTGTGGCTACCCAGTGGCAGGAATGGGCAAGCAGGTCAGCGTGCCCTATTGGGTCGAGGTACAGGGAGTGACCCTGTGTGTAAACAGCTCCTCATACATGGAGTAATTTAGGTCCTGTGTTCCTGGGGATTAACAAGTCTTCCTGGGTTGAAGGACGTTCTGGCCAGGGCTGAGCTCACAGCACGTGTGTCAGTTCTGCCCTTGCAGCTCCAAGGCTGTAAAACCACAGCCTCTCCTCTGGGCCACGTCCTCCTCCTTACAACATGTGGATAGAAGTCAGCTGGATTTGCCTCCATCAGTCAAATCCACAGACCCAGAGGGGTTGACAAGCAAGCATAATACACAGAGAAAGGAAGTTTTTATACTGTACCTCTTATTTAGGCATAATGCTTTTCAAAGACTGATACTACTCACTGCAGACTGCTCCACCACGCTCTTGAAGGATGACCTAGAGCCAGATGCCAACAGCCACTGTCACAGGGAACCCCTGCAGTGCTCACTGTAGCTGTGGGGCCACAGGAGCAAACAGGAAGAGAGAGGGCTCAGCCTCAGAGCTGGAACCTGACACTGAGGACAGCTCCTGGTTAAGGGGCAGGAGCTTCTACAGCTGTCACAAATCTGGCCAGTGCTGGAATACTCATCACACTCAAATATGACAGTATTCATAGAGAACTATTTAAGTCAATTTTATTTGAAGCTAAATATATTTAAGGCAACTTACATACCTAGAACATGATCTCAATGGAACTGACACACCCTACTACAATCCTAATGTATCATCTGCTCGAGTATGCTGTAGCTGACCACAATGCAGCCAGCTATTTGGAAAGTGCTATTTTCTTCTCTCTGGCATAATCCTTCTATAGAAAAAGCATTACATATTTTCTTGTATTGCCCCCTCAGTGCAAGACACCACCAACGGTCTCCACCCACTGCAGGTCCCCTAACGGCCCCTCAGCCCCTGGCAGGAACACACCTGCATGCCCCACACCTCTAGCACTCTAATACTTGGTTCAAGTTCAAAGGTCCTTTTTTTGAAGACAGTAAAGTGAAGCTACCACTGTGCAGCATGTCCACAGTCCAGTAATTTATTTTTAAATTGAGTAATTTCAAATTGCACAAACAAAACTGAACAGCAATATGCTTGAATTCTCTCTTCTGTACACTCAAAACAGTGATCTAAAACACCACAATATCCAACATACACAAACCTCAGGGCAGGGTTAGTAAATACACAGATTGGAATCATGGTGCTCTGTTCCTGAATGGAATGTCCCACAAAAGCACAGGATACAGCACAACAGAAGGTCATCTGGTACATATGGAGTGAGCAAAAAGACACTAGCATTTTCTATAGCCATAACTGGGAAAACCTGCAGAGGTTAAGGGGGGGAAGAAATAAAAAAAAAGAACTTTTACTCATTTTAAGTCAGGCAAGGTTGTCTGTACGCATTTTAAGTTTTTAGAGCTATGCAATCCAACCAGGGTAGGATGTGCTGATTAGTGTTGTCTCTTGTCAGCAGTCTTGCAAGGTCAAATACAAGTATCTTTGCTTGAGCTTTCTCCGGATACACAGTGAGACTGAAATGCATTTAGAATAGACAGTACGTACTGTAAGCTGCTCACAGACAAGGAACTTAAGATTCAATATTAGAGTTTAACACTATAGAGTGCAAATCAATCTTCACAATAGACTTAATGGTAATAAGCAGTCCTGCAAAAGCCCACTTGAACAAAGTCGTTTAAACTATTCCCCTTTTTAAAGTAAAGTCTAAATGACATGGAATGTGAAAAAGATTGAACAGAAGTGATTCAAAGAGTTTGCGCTAGAAAAAACAGTCCTTCATGAGATAAAGGTGACAAGCACACGAGGCAGAACTCTTGCTTTTCCCTGTTAGGAGTTAAAGCGGGGAGGGACGGTGGAGTTTCAGTAAGAAAATAGGCGAGCTCCAGAGGGACCTGTGCTGCACCCTACATGCTGTACCCAAAGCCAGGCTGTGGCTGCCCGTAGGGAGAGGCAGTGTAGCCATAGCCAAAAGGTGCTTGTGGAGGAACTGCCACACTGGGTCCCGCTGTCAACATGAGCTGTGGCTGACCTGCAAGGCAAGAGTTACAGCTTTAGTCCCAGTAGCCAGGGTTCAGTCAGCAGAAATCCTGCCAGCTCCCCAGAGACATCTATCTGTGTGTTAACAGTAACTCCCTAGCCTGAGCTAGGACAATCTGAAATCCTGCAGTCCACATCCAGCCTCGGCAGTGGCGTCAGCCTCGTACTTTATCTAGTATTTTGGAACACATTCCCCCAACACTTCTCCTCCCATGAAGGACGTTCCCCTTTCCAAGACTTCCTTGGGAACAACAACAGCTAGGGAAGTGCTGATTTCTAAGCAGAATGAGTTACTGATAACACATGAACTCGGGCATTACCATAAACAATAGGTTGTGTTTCTGTAGCTTGCTCCTCTTCCTTTCTCAAAGATTCCGATGCATCCAGTTTGTCCACCTGGAATTGAGACCAACAATGAGAAAAACTCCTCTAAAACAATCACTTATTCATGGCAGAGAAGTGGAAAAGCCTTAGTGGTATGTTAACACCCATCCAGAAAAGGAGACCGTTTACAAGTTAAGATCAATTCAAGTAGCAATGTTGGTACTGGTGCAGTCAAGATTGCCCATTTCCTGAAAAAACTCCTAATTGAGGGATTTGTGGAACTTCTTTGAAAGCTCACTCCAGGCTGAAGCTTTGTATGAAAGGTCCCACTCTGGACTCGAGCTGCTTTGACATCAGCAAGCTCATCAGTCCAACTGCTTTAAACCAACAGCCTTAGGACACAAACTCAGGTTTTAGCACAGTGTCAGCTGGAGACCTTTGGTATTCAAGCGATCACTAAGAACACCCAGACCTGGAGACATTTCCCTGAATACAGCATTGAGGCAAAGTGATCTGAGGTTGGTTGTATATGGCAGACTGCAATAGCATCCGACATGTCACTTGAGCCTAAGAGTTCACTTTCCAAACCCATTCACTCATGCAATTTAAGTTCAAATGCAGAGAATGCATGTGTATAAGACTTGCTTTTTTCCACTCCAGAACTGTGTGGCAGTCAGCCTAAACCCACAAACACTCAACTTGTTTGAGCTTAGTACACAGTAACCAGCTGTGGCTGGCCAGCCTCCCTCTGGCTCACAGCAAGTGCAGTTGTGCTGTCAGCCCACCCCCACTGAAAGGCACCAGAAGGAACTTGTTCTGCAGTGAAATATTGCTTGGTACTAAAACAGATCCAAGGACATTCAGCAGTACTACAGTCTAAGGCAGGCCCTGAAACTAAAACTGCAAAAATGAGGCACTGATCTTTTACCTGGAGATAAGATTTAGAATAAAGTCAGAGACAATCATGCCAATTTTTTTTAAGACAGTAAGACAACTCACAAACCAGATTGGTCTTTCATTTCATTTGTGTCCTTAAGGAGTTTGAAGATGTGTTTCCTGTGCTCACACATGGTCAGCACTACTTACTCAGCTGCACCAGCACCCCTGAGCTGAGCAGATTTCAGCTTAACTGTGCTATGTTAGCAAATATTTGCAGGCAGCTCTAACAGCTTTCTTCCCTTTAGTTGTGAATTACAACATGTGTTCCAAGAAAAATGTTAATTTGTAACATCAATTAGAGGCATAAATCCAGGAAGTGGCGTAAGTCCTGAGCTTTAGAGTTCACTCATTGACTGGGCTCTCACGAGGAGCCTTTTTGTGGCCTCACACCAGTATCTGGCTTGCTGCTGTCAAAGTGCACAGGAGTGTTTGCCAAGGCTTCCAGACTCATTTCCAGACACCGTGCTGAGAGCTGCACTGTTCAACTCAAACAGCAACACATTGAACACAGAAGCACAAGTTTAGAGATGCAAATCCAAGGAGAATGTGCAGAGTTTGCTACTAAGCAGAGGCATGTGGCTTACACCTACTTGGAAAGCCTCCAGCCTAGGACATTTGATGCATTTTTGACCCAGTTTTGATGCCTCCCCTCAGAGGTAAACAAGTATTTACAATCACAGGGGCAAGTTTGAAACCAGCCTGCAGGATGGTTCTTACACCACTTGCTTGAGCATCACCAGGTTCAGCACCCTACACACTTTGTAGTAAGGTTGTTTTAAAGGCTTTTCCACAGGGACTGCAATAAGCTGCAGAGGAAAAGTAACATGCATTCAATGTTATTGTGTTATGTGTGCATGAAAAAGAGGCAAAAGTACTGAAGCACGAGTGAGGTCTGAAGATGACTGCCATACAGGCTCCCCCCAAAAAACCACACGCAGCCCACAGCAATGCCTTGTAGCTTCAGGAGCAGTGGGATGTAATTGCAATGACTGCTACACATGCGTAGGTTATGCAAACACTGCAGT